ACGGGAAGCTGGCGGCGGCGGCGGCGGCCGCGGGGGGCAGGCTGTTCATGGGGTTGCTCTGGAAGAACTCGAGGTACTCCTTGGCGCGGAGGAGGTTGCGCTGATCAATTTGATCTACAAGGTCCAGCTGCCCGGCGTCGGCGCCCGCGTCGGCCGCCAGGATCTGCCGGTCCAGGAGGTCGGCGCACACGTGGCTCACGGCGGGGATCTCCAGCAGGCGGGCGGCGCTGAGGATGTCACCCACGTTGGCCGTGCTGACGGTGAGCGTGGCCGTGTAGGCGAAGTCCATGAGCGCGGTGAGCGCCTCCGCGCTGACGAAGTCGATCTCGTACACGTTCTGCTGGTCCACCACCGCGCCCGACGTGAACAGCTTCTTGAAGTACTGGCTGCAGGCGGCCAGCACCGAGCGGTGCGTGGGGAACTCGCGGCCCTCCACCAGGATCACCACGTCGCACAGCAGGCCCTGCGTCCGCTGCTCGTTCAGCCCACTCAGGATGTCGCTGCTGTGGTCGGGGAACGGGATCCCGATGGGGCCGTCCACGCCGCCGGCCATCTTCCGCGCCGAGACCTGCAGCAGTGGGGAGGAAGAGGGTGCTCGTGAGTCGGGGTGCGGGGGTTCCTGTGCCCCCTGACGAGGGCCCGAGGCCCTTGAGAAGCAGCGCTCCATCCTGCTTCCCCAGCCTCGATTCCCACCTGCACGTGAAGGCGGTCAGATGTCACGCCTTTCCAGCCCAAGCTTCCCCAGCTGTGCACCAAAGCGATACATGTCCTGCCTCCAGCCTCTTTTCTCTTTTGGTGTGTCTTTAGTAGAGAAGAGCTTTCATCATGTTGGCCAGGCTGGTCTCAAAACCCTGGCCTCGGCCTGGCGCGGTGGCTCACGCCTGTAATTCCAGCACTTTGGGAGGCCGAGGCGGGCGAATCATGAGGTCAGGAGATCAAGACCATCCTGGCTAACACAGTGTAACCCTGTCTCTACTAAAAAATACACAAAATTAGCCGGGTATGGTGGCGGGGGCCTGTAGTCCCAGCTACTCGGAGGATGAGGCAGGAGAATGGCATGAACCAGTGAGATCGCACCACTGCACTCCAGCCTGGGCGACAGAGTGAGACTCCGTCTCAAGAAAAACAAAATAAAACAAAAAAACCCTGGCCTCAAATATCCAACCGCCCCTGCCTCCCAAGGTGCTAAGATTACAGGCATGAGTCACTGCGCCCGGCCAAGACTCAGTTTTCCATCTGTGCATGAGGATAGCCAGATGTCCTGGCTCCCCAGCCTCACTTTACCCAGCTGTTCCCAAGGGCAGTCAAATGTCCTATTCTCTAGCCTCAGTTTCCCCAGATGTGCATGAGAATGGTCGGATATCCTGCCTCCCCCAGCCTGTCTCCCCAGCTGTGCACAAAAGCAATCAGATGTCCTGTCCCCAGCCTCAGTTTCCCCAGCTGTACAGGAAGGCGATCAGGTGTCCCACTCCCGGCCTGTTTCCCATCTGTACACGAAGGCGGCCAGATGTCCTGCCTCCAGCCTCAATTTCCCCAGCTGTGCATGAGGACAGTCAGGTGTCCTGCCCCCCACCAGCCTCAGTTTCCCCAGCTGTGCCGAAGAGCAGTCAGATGCTCTGTTCTGTCTCATCAGCGTCAGATTATGCCGGCAAAACCCACACTGGGCGCTTAAGTGTCACAGGCACACTGGTACCACCCCTCCCAGGACGACCCCCGGGAATGCCTGTTGAAAGGGGACTTTGAGGCCGGGCTCGGTGCTCACACCTGTAATTCTAGCATTTTTGGGAGGGTGAGGTGGGCAGATCACTTGAGGTCAGGAGTTCAAGACCAGCGACCAGCCTGGCCAACATGGTGAAACTCTGTCTCTAATAAAAATACAAAAATTAGGCTGGGTGCGGTGGCTCACACCTGTAATCCCAGCACTTTGGGAGGCCGATGCGGGCGGATCACCAGGTCAGGAGATCAAGACCATCCTGGCTAACACAGCGAAACCCCATCTCTACTAAAAATACAAAAATAGATGGGCATGGTGGCACACGCCTGTAATCTCAGCTACTCAGGAGGCTGAGGCGGGAGAATCACTTGAACCCGGGAGATGGAGGTTGCAGTAAGCCGAGACTGCACCACTGCACTCCTGCCTGGGCCACAGAGCGAGACTCCATCTTAAAAAAAAAAAAAATCAGCTAGGCGTGGTGGCGCGTGCCTGTAATGCCAGCTACTCGAGTAGGAGGCTGAGGCAGAAGAATCGCTTGAACCCGGGAGGCGGAGGTTGCGGTGAGCCTGGATGGAGCCACTGCACTCCAGCCTGGACAACAGAGCAAGACTTCATCTCAAAAAAATAAATAAATAAATTTAAAAAAAAAAAAAAAGGGCTGGGCGCTGTGGCTCACACCTGTAATCCCAGCACTTTGTGAGGCCAAGGTGGGCGGATCACGTAAGGTC